TGAGACGAATTACTGAAAATTCGAGCGGACATCCATTAAAGAATCTAAAGATTCTTACAAATAATGAATTTTCTTGTGATGCTTGTTATCAAGGCAAAATGATCACTAGACCATCACCAATGAAGTTTGGCATTAAATCCCCTGCCTTTTTAGAACGTATACATGGGGATATATGTGGACCTATTCACCCACCAAGTGGGTTGTTTAGATATTTTATGGTCCTAATAGATGCATCTTCAAGATGGTCTCATGTGTGCCTACTATCATCTCGCAACCTGGCGTTTGCAAAGCTATTAGCCCAAATAATTCGATTAAGGGCACAATTCCCAGATTATCCTATAAAGGCTATTCGCCTTGATAATGCTGGAGAATTCTCATCTCAAGCTTTTGATAATTAGTGTCTATCAGTTGGAATAAAAGTTGAACATCTTGTAGCTTATGTTCATACTAAAAATGGCCTTGCAGAGTCATTTATTAAACGACTGCAATTGATAGCAAGACCACTACTTATGAAAATAAAATTGCCCACTACTGTTTGGGGTCATGCTATCTTGCACGCAACATCACTTATCCGTCTCAGACCAACACATTATAATAAATATTCTCCGTCACAATTAGTTTTTGGTCATGAACCAAATATTGCCCATCTACGAATTTTTGAATATGCTGTTTATGTGCCAGTAGCACCACCACAGCGCAGTAAGATAGGCCCCCAAAGAAGATTAGAAATATATATTGGGTTTGAATCACCCTCTATTATTCGCTATCTTGAAACATTGGCGGGAGATTTATTTACTGCTCGATTTGCAGATTGTTGATTTGATGAAATAAATTTTCCACAATTAGGGAGAGAGAAAAAGGAAATCAAAAGAGAAATTGTGTGAAAAGTTTCATCATTATCTCACTTTGATCCACGTACCCCTATATGTAATCAAGAGGTCCAGAAGATCATCCATTTACAGAATATAGCAAATCAAATGCCAGACGCATTTACTGATTTGAAAAGGATAACTAAGTCACATATCCCAGCAGAGAATGTGCCTATCCGAATTGATGTCCCAGTAGGACCATCTACTAGCATGAGAGCTAGTGAACCTAAACCACGCCTGAAGCATGGTAGACCTTTCGGTTCTAAGGATCGAAATCCTAGAAAAAGAAAATCGACAAATGATCAAAATGATATTATGAAGGGATCTCCTGAAGAGACCCAAGATCTGATTAGTTATGAGATTCCTGAAGAAATCAATGAACCTGAGACTCAAGTGAGCGAGGAACTTTTAATAAGTTCTACTGGTGATGGGATTAATTTAAATCGATCTGAAATAGTGGTGGATAATATTTTTGCATATAATGTTGCACTTAACATTATGCAAGATAGTGAGAATCTTGAACCCCGATCTGTCGAAGAATGTCGACAAAGATCTGATTGGCCAAAATGGCAAGAGTCAATTCAATCGGAATTGAAGTCACTTGCTAAAAGAGAGGTCTTTGGACCAGTAGTCCAAACACCTGTTGGTATAAAGCCAGTTGGTCATAAATGGGTTTTTGTGCGAAAAAGGAATGATAAAAATGAAGTTGAAAGATACAAGGCTCGCCTTGTTGTACAAAGATTCTTACAACGACCTGGAGTTGATTATGAAGAAACATATTCACTAGTTATGGATGCCATAACATTTCGATATCTCATCAGTTTAGCCTTATGTGAAAGGCTTGAAATACATCTAATGGATGTGGTTACAACTTATCTGCACGGGTCACTTGATAATAAAATTTACATGAAAATCCCCGAAGGATTTAAAATGCCTGAAGCATATTCAAAATCTCGGGAAATGTACTCAATCAGATTACAAAGATCTTTGTACGGTTTAAATCAATCTGGGCGTATGTGGTATAATCGCCTCAGTGAATATTTGCTGAAAGAGGGTTACATAAATGATGTTATTTGTCCATGTATTTTTATAAAGAAAATGGCTTCAGAATTTGTTATACTTGCTGTTTATGTTGATGACATAAATCTTGTTGGAACTCCAGAAGAGCTCCAAAAGGCAATTGAATATCTTAAGAAAGAATTTGAGATGAAAGATCTTGGAAAGACAAAACTTTGTCTTGGTCTGCAAATTGAACATTTAGCAGACGGGATCTTTATCCATCAATCTGCCTATACAGAAAGGGTCTTAAAACGCTTTTACATGGACAAAGCGCACCCATTGAGTACACCAATGGTTGTTTGATCACTTGAAGTGAATAAAGATTTGTTTCGACCTCCAGAAGAGGATGAGGAACTCCTTGGTCTCGAAGTACCCTATCTCAGTGCAATTGGTGCACTAATGTATCTTGCTAATGCTACAAGGCCTGACATGGCATTTTCTTTTAATTTACTAGCAAGATATAGTTTTTCTCCTACACGGAGACATTGAAACGGGATTAAGCATATATTGCGATATTAAAAGGGAACTCTTGATATGGGTTTGTTTTATGCTAACAAAGATAGTGCAGATCTTGTTGGTAATGCAGATGCAGGTTATTTATCTGATCCCCATAAAGCTAGATCTCAAACCGGGTACGTTTTTACATGTGGAGGTACTATAATATCATGGCACTCCACAAAGCAATCTATTGTTGCTATTTCTTCAAATCATGCTGAAATAATAGTTATTTATGAAGCAAGTAGAGAATGCGTATGGTTGAGATCAATAATTCATTTTATTCGAGAAAAATGTGATTTGGAATGTGAGAAAAAACCCACAATTTTATACGAAGACAATATTGCATGCATAGCTCAATTGAAGGGAGAATTTATAAAAGAAGATAGAACGAAGCACATTTCACCAAAATTATTCTACACACACGATCTTCAGAAAAATAGTGACATTAATGTGCAACAAATTCGTTCAAGTGACAATCCGGTAGATTTATTCACTAAATCTTTACCAACTTCAACTTTTGAGAAGATGGTATACAAGATTGAAATGCGGAGACTTAAATATTTGAAACAAGGTTTTCATCAGGGAAGTAAAATATGCGATGTACTCTTTTTTTCTTACTAAGGTTTTTTCCCATAGGGTTTTCCTTATAAGTTTTTTAATGAGGTAGCTAGCAATGCGTATTATTAAATATGTGTACTCTTTTTCCTTTATTAGGATTTTTTCCTAGTAAGGTTTTAATGAGGCACATTATCTTTTAATGAATATCTAAGGGGGAATGTTATAAATATATTATATTATGGATGTTCATTTAGTACTCCGTTGTAAATAAGCTTTTTGAAGAAGCTTATCCATATGAGACTCCGCCGTAAATATGTTTATCTATTTAGTACTCTATTGGAAATAAGCTTCCTGAAGAAGCTTATCCTTTCGCACTACTAAAAATTCGGCAAAAACCGACCAAGGTCGACCGACCAACTTTGGTCGATCAAAAAACCGACCAAAAAACCGACCAAAGTTGGTCGGTTTTTTAAAATATTTTTTTAATTTTTTTTTTTTACGAAACCGACTAACTTTGGTCGGTTTTCTTTGGCGCAAAAATGCGGAAAACTACTTTTGAGTCCCGCAAAATTTATGTTTCAAGAAACCGACCAACTTTGGTCAGTTTTTCAATTAAAATAAATAAAAATTACTATTAAAAAAACCGACCAAAATTGGTCGGTTAATTCGGCGGGTCATTTAAAAAAACCGACCAACTTTGGTCGNAAAAAAACCGACCAACTTTGGTCGGTAATTTTACTTTTTAATAAAACCGACCAACTTTGGTCGGTTATTTTCGTGCGAAAATACAATTAAAGAGTATAAATCAAATAAAAGACAATCTTAAAATAAAATGTACCGATGGTCTAGTGGTAGAATAGTATCCTACCACAGTACAGACCCTGGTTCGATTCCCAGATGGTGAATCTTTTTATTACATAATTAAAATACCGACCAACTTTGGTCGGTTTTTTTTGCAATATTTTTTTTTTGTTGAATTTAATTGACCGACCAAAGTTGGTCGGTAATTTCCGACCAACTTTGGTCGGTATTCCTTTCTGACCATAAAAATACCGTCCACACGTAAATGATCGCGTTTTGGTCAGTTTTTGGCCATTACCGACCAACGTTGGTCGGTATTTTTGGTCGGTTTTTACCGGATTTCTAGTAGTGTCGGTACTCCGTTATGGATAAATATTACTCATGATAGAAAATTATCTATATCTGGCACAACAACTTAGAGTAGTAGCTTATACAGCAGCTTGCAGTAGCAGCTTATACAACAGCTTCTCCTCAGTTCAATATGTACATAAATTTGAAATTTGAATAATATATCGGTTTCTCTAGGCAAGCGAATCAATTTTTGGAGTAATGAAATTATGTAGATTAAACGTCGCCTAGAGCACAATACGTTTAGAGGGTTGGTCCAATTCAGTGGCTGAGTGTTGACAATTCAGTAATTTTGTGATATAATTGGAAGACTAGCTCTCTAAACTGGGTTCTAAATGCTGCTAGTTCTTCGTTTGAACGTTTGGTACCCATTATGCATTTATTTTATTGGATTTTTTTTCTAAATTTGCTGGGTCAAATACGTGACATTTGGTTAAAGATAGGTGGAGAGATTATATCCATCAACTTACAACCTTTGATGGTCCTTTATGTATAAAGTTATTTTCGAAAAAGTATAACTATTCAACAGTTAATTCGATAGAAAAATAAAGCATCATAATTTAATTGAGTAGTTAGACATATTTGAATTCTTAAATATTATAAACAATCATGCATAGCTGTAAAATACAAACGAAAGAATATTGAACATATTTTGATATCTATAAAAGGAAAGAGTTTTTCCAACTTCAGCTTTCAATAGTCCAAATGAATTTCTATTTGTATAATTTTACAAATATTTAATTTGAACTAAACGTGTATAAGAATATCAATTATCAAATCAATAACTGAAAATTGACCCAAACTTAAAAACGAGCCGTATTGGCATATTGCCGAACATTAATAAAGGTACTTTGTGCATGATGCATGCACTCAATTAAAAAAAATAAAAAAATCCTCTAATTTGTTGCTCAAATTCAAATAGTCTCTCAAACTCCTAGTCTCACAATTCACAAAGAGTTAAAAGAAGAAGCAGTATAATAGCTATTCAGTAGCTTAAGCTAAAGTGTAAAAGTTACCGACTTAATCTGTACTAGAGAAAATGGGAATTGTATGCCCCGATGAAAGCAAGAGGATAGAGATCGAGGAATTTCGCCGGATGTTGCTATCTTACGCAGCGGTGCACCGGACAAAAGCCGCCGCCGCCGCCGCCGCCGCCGACGACGACGAATTCCGCAATCCACAGCAGTTGCCCACTGCAGTTCAACAGAACCGTGAGCTTGAAGAGAAGAAGGTATGCGTCACCAGTGGCGTATCCTTCCTCGGTATTGCTATCGTAAACCAACTCTTACTCCGTGGATACTCTGTACGAGTCATTGTCGAAAAACAAGGTGCCAATATTTTATTTTGTTTTAGTTTTTTGCTCCTTCTCACTCTCCCTATGCCTTTGGTACTGCATAAAATAAAAGATGAAGATAAAAGTAACTTCTGATTCCCGAGAATAGTACAGTAGTTTGAATTTGGTCAACTGGAATCTGGTGTGCTGCTTGACTATTGCCATTCCTAATTCTGGTTTTTACTGGATTTAATGTTCCTTTAGATCTTCACTGTTGAATATGTTAAAATTAACGCGAACCACGTGATTTCTTTTTTCATCCTGTTTTAATTTGCCTAAATTGACGTTCGATTTCGTGTTCTGGAACGTTATATCATCAGTTCATTCTTTGCTGACTTCGCCGACTCTGTTAGAGTTATAGAGTATATATGTTTATTATAGATATTTATTTGCAATTACATGTCTGTCCATGCTTAAAAATTAAACTCAAATCAAAATGATAAAGAATTACTTGTCCCTATAGTTTTACACTAGTCCTTATCAATTGAAAATGATTAAGCAATCTAATAAGATAAGAATATATATTAATTAATCGAAAGAAGTTTATGTGCAAATACATACAAACATCGGATGCCAATAAATTTTTTACCGATCTAAATCTAGTTCGAGTAAATTGTTTGGACGGGACATATATGCTTAAGATTGTTTAATGCAGAGGATCTGGAAAAGCTAAGAGAGATGGAAATTACTGGAGAAATGAGACAGTCCAAGAGCAGCACAGTAGAGGCAGTAATGGCAAATCTAAATGATGTGCAAAGCCTATCAGAAGCATTCAACGGTTGTCGTGGCGTCTTCCACACTGCTGCCTTTGTGGACCCTGCTGGCCTATCTGGATATTCAGTATGTCTTCTCTCTCCCACACTGTTGATGACACCAAAAAACAGGGAAATACATTTCTTGTGCATAATTAGTAAATTAATAGAAGAATTAACTCAATAGACGCACACTCAACCACTTAATTGTGTATAATTAATATATAATATATATATATATATATATATATATATATATTGCTAGAAAAAATAAACAATGAACAAATTAATACTCTAATAATCACATTTGAGTAAAAGAGTTTGGTACGGTTTATTAGTGCAAAGATCACAATTTCATCCACAATGCACTGGGGGCGAAGTCAGTGCATTAGTTATGGGTTTTCGTGAACTCAGTAACTTTTGTTTAGATCCAGAATTTGTATTGAAAATTTTATTAAATATATAACAATATTTAGCTTGGATCTCAGTCCGTTAATCTAATCATTATTGTGTATTAACTTAAAATTTCTCTAGTAACCCATAAACTTAAATTTCTGGATCCACCTCTGATGCACACGTTTAATGCTAAATTTCCCTTTCCTCTATTAACTCTAATGAATGAAAACGTAGTACTCTGTTTCTAATCAAGAAAAATTCTGAAGTTATTTGAAAGAAAAAAAAAACTAACTACTTTATTCTTAAAATCTTTGAGTCGACAACTATTTTTTCACGATATAATTCCAGTAATATTATTGCCAGAGTCTGAGTGCGTCTTTACGGCAACATGCCCCCAGCAATTTGGATGTACCATTATTCTTCTTCTAGAAAACATGTCGTTATCTGGCTATTTCAACTTGCAGTACTTATTTCAAAGATTGGCAAATGTCGCTATTAATTATTGGCATTTTTGTTTGGCAAATACAAATTGCACGCAGCATGTGGTTTCTCTTCAACAATATTTTAGCTAAAATTTGCATAAACACCACATACCATTGTGTTTACAAGTTAAAACGTTACCATATTCAGATCTAGTCATCTACTATATCGGACGGCTCATCATGTGTGTCAAGTACTTCCAAACTTTTTGTTACTTACTCATGTGGTCTTTTTTTTTTTGGGTGAGGCAATGTTTTAATTTGTTAGTACTCCATTTTGTAGAAATCAATGGCTGAAGTAGAAGTGATGGTAAGCAAGAATATGACTCAGGCATGTGCTGTAACACCCTCAGTCAAATATTGCATGCTCACATCCTCACTTTTAGCCTGTGTATGGAAAGATCTTAATTCATCAACAACAATTGATAATGATAGCTGGAGTGATGAGTCTATCTGCATAAACAAGAAGGTATATCATTAAATTGAATTTTAAGTGCTCTTCTTCGTGGGTTGCATTTCTACTCAACATAATAAGACTTTAAATGTCATACCTCTTAAAATAATAATAAAATGAGAGTTTCACGGGTCCAACTTATATTCCTAGTGCTTCGCCGGCAAATAATAAGATGAGAGTCAATTGACAACTTTGTCCAAAAAATTTAGACAGGTAATTTTTTTTATATGTTTATATATATTATGGGTTAAATTCCCTTCACTTTTAGTATATTTACTTCTTTGAATTTGGATACAGTTAGTGAAATTTCTAGCTCTCTTACTGTTTTGCATGCGTAGGAAGTGTAGTGAATGAGGCTAGTGGCTCACTCATTCAGTTGCAACTTGCAACCAGTACTGATTAAAAAAAAACCTTGTTCAGTGCGAAAACTGATCAGTGCAGTGAACTGATTATGACTCAAGTAACCAAACAATGTTTATTGTAAAAAGTAACTTTAGCTATTTTAACTAATTCTTTTACACTGCGCCGCGTAGTCAAGATAACGACGAAGCAACTAGCACTCGTCCACTTAAAATCACAAGTCACAGACTCACATAGCCCATTAAAACTTCTAATTTCGAAAGTCAGTCAAGATCTCATGATTGACTAAGATACGTGATAAATTAATATCTAAATATTGAAGTTTAATTACCTTTTGCAATTGAACAAAATTGGCAGTTATGGTATGCGTTGGGTAAGCTGAAGGCAGAAAGAGTAGCGTGGAACGTAGCTAAGGAGAGTGGATTCAAGTTGGCTACTATTTGTCCTGGTCTAGTAACTGGTCCTGATTTCCTCAGCAGGAATCCAACCTCTACCATTGCCTATCTTAAAGGTGACAATTTTCTTATTAGTACCTAAATAAATCAGGTACTACATATTTTTGGTTCTGAGCTAGTACTTTATGTATGATATTCAGGAGCCCAAGAAATGTTCAGAAATGGACTCTTGGCGACAGTGGATGTTAATAGATTAGCAATATCACACGTCTTGGTATTTGAGGAGATGAAAAACACAGCTTCTGGCAGATATATTAGCTTTGAACGAGTAATTAGAAGTGAAGAAGATTTTGAAAAATTGGCAAGAGAAACAGGAACAGAAATTAGAACGAGTACAAACTCCATAATTGGTGCATCCAATACTCATAGGATTGGTATTAAATTATCAAATGCAAAGCTTTGCCGTTTAATGTCTGCAACATTTAGATGTAATAGTTAGCGCTAGCTCCCGTCAATAAACTCAATACTCTGCCTCTATCAAAATTTTGGGCGCGCAGCAAGTAAATGTATAATCCTAATTAGATTGGTGAGTAAGGAGAAGATTCTAACTGGTTATTCCAAATGAAACAAAATGTACGAGCCTTATACTTTCAGGAAACTACCCTATTCAATTCAAATTAATTACCCGTTTTTACCCATGCTAGTAGAGTGCAGATGGAAAAGGGAACATTGTCGACCCTAAAGAAGAGGAAACATAGCCGCGGTTCTCAAGCTTAGGGGAGGAAATAGTTTTGTTGTAGTTAGATTGTGTGGCCAATACAAAGAAAATGAATATGCTGGGAGATTGGATAATATAGCTCCCACAAAGATAGTAGATCAGTTTGGGCTAGGGAAGTTAAAGCAGGACGTCTGGTGTGATAAGAGTTACATAAAATGCACAATATGTGGTTCATGCTCCGATTTCCTCAGAATTTGTCTTCATTCGCTAGTCAACACTTATATTTCGTTCTATTAGCTCCTTCAAAAAATCTTAGGTAATATATTATGTGTATGTCTTTCAGCGTTTGTTTCCAAGGTGCATAATACCTTCCTTTGTTAGGTATGAGAGTCAAATATGCAAAAGAGGTATCAAGCCATGCTTCTCATAAGTGCTAAATTAAGGACTATAGCTATAACGGATAACTATTTTAATAGGCATGATTGTAAATGATAGGGAATGAAATTGATGAGTCAATACTAAATAGTTTTAAGTTGTATAGAATTCCTGAAATTTTCCCTTATAATTTTTGTGGTGGCAGAAACAAGCCCACATGATGCCGTACTAATTTCCTGTTACCTCTCGCTGGCCACTTACCAGCTAAAGCATTTGTGCACAATTTGATATCCAAGATTATGTACTCCATTTAATTAAAAAACTATGGACATCGATGCAAGTATAAAGTTATTTTAGTGTGTCTAAATTAACAAAAAAGAACGTTGAATTGTCACTATAATTTAGCAAGTTCAGCACTATGAGCAACAGACAATCTCATTTTTCTTTTTCAAAGAGGCGAAGCTCAGATATGTTGGAAAACAATATATTCCCGGACCTCATTAAAGGTCTCATAGAGCTGGGTTAGATTTTGTCATCATTGCATCGCATCCTTTACCAATTTCGCTAAAAATAATTATTCCTAAAGTAGTACACTATTTGATTCAGTAGCTACAAATCTAGAAATTAATAAGTGGGAAAGAAATGTACTGAGGCGTTACTAGACTAGCTTCAAAGATTTGTTAAAATCTCAGCAAATCTGAAGAGCCTAAGCAAGATTAATTTACGAGCAGATTAACACCTCCCTTTCCATCTCCTCTTATTGGAAGAAAAGGGGGCTGCCTGAATTTCCACTCGGTACCAAAATTTAGACAGAAACCCCCGAAAAAACAAATAAAAACATACAGAAAGTAAAAGAGAAAAAGGATGAGTTTACATAGGGCTCAGAGAGTTGCTTAATGTGCTCAAAGAAGAGCAAAGCTCTTCTCATACAAGAGGTGTCAGAAATAATAAAAGCAATCATCATCGCCCAATCCCTCCACACACAAAAAAAAAAAAAAAAAAAAAAAAAAAAAAAAATAGATATAAAAAGAAACAACTCAATTGCTGAAGCGTATAAGAATGAAAGACGCAGTAGTTTACATAATGAAAATGGAGGAAAATAGAGTGAATACTTATAAGGGAACCACAACGGCTGAGCTGCAAATTAGGGTTTACAGCATCTTGCTCTCATCCACGAGGATGTACTTAATATATTGCTGATGGGCCTTAAATGGATATGCCCAGCCCACTGACCTAAACCTCACCCCGCGAAAGGTGGCGTGGTGAAGAAGAATTAACTTATATAGCCGCCTACTCAAGCGCTTAAACTCAAAATAGTCCGTGGATGAATATTATCAATTTATACTATATTAAAAGTACAAAGGTTTTATCAAAATGTCATTCGCTTTTCATAAGTACTTTATATGTTGAATATAATAGTAATTATAATAACTATTTTATTCAAAAAAAAATTAAAAAAAACGCTAATTGTCGACTACTTGCGGTTTACCTCCCTTTTGTATAAGTTTTGGATTCCAATTCCATTAGGCTTCTACTTACCGTGTTAGGCTTCTATTTCAATATCTTTGTATGAGTTTTGGATTCCAATTCCATTAGGCTTCTATTTACCGTATTAGGCTTCTCCCATTGGTTTCTTCTTTGTTTCGAAATCAAATTAGGTTTCTAGAATTTTACAATGGATTAAATTTCTCATTTACTTACCGTATTAGGTTCTTTCTTCTTTGTTTTGAGATCAAATTAGGTTTCTAAAATTTTACAACTATAAAAGAAGCTATTTCTACATTCTTTGTCATAAACATACGTCCTCATAATAAATTTGCTTCCCACTTGCGATAAATTTCTATCTTGTACTATATTCTTGAAGTTATGTAATAATGGTTGTTCGTGCATTTTCACTATTAGTTGAATGATTGCATCAAATCGATCAATCTTTTTTAAAAAAATTCATCTGTTCTATTCCATTGTGCCATTAGAAATAGCATTATGATTGTTCCTCACATCTTCTCCTTATGCCAGCTTACTAATTGTTATGCCAACTAAAGCTCATATTTTCTCACAAAATTAAATTTGATTATCTCTTTTAATTGACTATAGTATACATATCACAATTTTTAAATTTTGTTCTTAAAGAATAGCCCTTGACAATTGGCGTCGTTGAATCTACCCAAAATTTTGACAATTTTCGTTGGTTCGGGTAAACAATTCTCCTTATCGATCTCATAAATAATATTTTATATAATCTTCTGGTTATGATGTAATATATTATGTTCTGAAAGTTATGTAGCTTACTTGCAGTTCAACTATGATTTTCTGTGTTGCTCTTCAAAATCTTAGATTGGGATATTCTTTTTTGAAATCATTATTATGAAAACACACCCCATAATCAATATTTTGAAAAGAGTAGCTTACTGTTCTAATGGTGATGAATCAAGAAAACATGAAATAATATTGCCAAATCTTATATTGGGATATTCGAAAATGTTTTAGCTTTATTTGATATTTATGCTATTATTGAAAAGTAATTGGTTTTAATGTGCATAAAAATTAATGCAAAACAAAAATAGAATCATAAAAAGCTTATCAATCCTCAATTTTAATAGTAGGTATATTGTGGTTGGATTAAAATGCGTTAGTGCATTAGCTATCCATACTATTGATCTAAGTAATTCTTTTAAATCTTTTGTTAAATACAAATTTTAAAATTATGAGTGTCTTAAATGACTTTAGTGCCCTTTGATATTAGACCACGTGTTTTCACTTGATTTCACGTACTCGTAATGAAAACTGAAATTGAATTTGCAAACGAATGTGTGCTACTTAACAGTTTGAGAAGATCCGACTCTCAGTGGATAATAAAGGTCTTACTTATTCAATATGGAGTAGTTAAAGAATTTAAAAATGAAACAAATCAAGGCATTTGATGGACTCTGATATTTGTAGATGAGGAGGTAATGTTATTTTTATCTTTGTATTATATCCGATATTTTTCGTATTATGTATAATCACGATATTAAATTATGATAAAACTTTACAGGGAACAAAAATGCAAGCTATATTTTTCACTGATCAAGTGAATATGTGGAAGGAATATTTAGAACAAGGCAATATCTATTACATCATTAACGGCCGCATAAATGATCGTAAACCTAATTTTCAATCTGTACATAAAGAATTTGAGATTGTGTTCAGTAATAATACTATAGTCAAGAGATGCATCAACCTGTTTTCTACCGTTAATTTCTCAAACAGTTTCGTTTCGTTCGAAGAATCATTCCAATGCACCAATGGAACAATATTTGATAATTTCTTTAGATTTGTTTATTAATATTACATTATGAATAATATTCTACTCCTACTTGCTTATTAATTGGTAGTAGTTATTTACATGTATTCTCTATTAATATTCTTTTGCAGACACACTTGGTATCTTAGTGAAAGTTAATGCTTCCATCGGAGACGGTAACAGGAAACGAAGAGAAATAACGCTAATGAATGAAAGGTAAGTTGAATTTAGTTGACTTATTCATTTATTATCATGCATTAACTATCATATTATTAATTGATCAAATGTATTAAATGTAGTTAATATAATATTGAATTATAAAACTCAAGTATGATCGTCAAACTGTAACTTTATGGGAAGAAATAGCAGAATACGATGGTGATATGCTCCAAAATATGATGTTTGAAAAACCTATTGTGGCGCTATGTGATGTTAAAGGTACAACATACCGAGGTAGTATATTCAAATCCTCTGCGCTTATGGTAAATTCTTTATCTTTTATATTGCACTTAACGTTTTCACTTTTATAATTGTGTAGGTAATTTTGTAATATCTACTACACATGTTAGTAGTGTAATGATAAATCCAGCGTTTGAAAAAGCAATTGCTCTACGGAATTGGTAAGATATGTTTTGGACTCGACTTTAAGGAATTATTGCTAAAATTTAGTTATTAATATGTACTAATTAATTGAAACGCAGGCATAACCGTATAAAATCACAAGACAAAGAAATAACACTAATGCCAAGTAGATTGATAAAAAGGCCGGAAATGTGAAGGTTGGAGAAATAACACATGCAGATTCGTTTGACAATACAAAGGTACATTATTCAACTATTTAAAAAATAATTATACTTTGTATAATGTGTCCAATCTAACCTAATGTTTATTTGTAGGACACATATCGTAAATTTAATGCGAAAATAAAAGATATCATCAACAAAGATGACCCATGGTATTTATCTTGCAAGAAATGTTATAAGAAAGTTAGCTTGGTAGATAATATTTGTGATGACTCAAAATATCATATTTAAATTTAATAATTAATTTTGTATTCTAAGACCTCAAAAAGCACTATTTATTATTCATCGACTTGCATGCATAGTCCGTAAAATTTTCCAGAAAGTTTTCACGTGAAAAATGGATTAAAATGTGAATTAAAGTTTAAAAACTTAACTAAGTTGACTTTGGTCAATATTTTAAGCAAACGGACTCAGACCAGTGTTTTGACAGTTCCGGTAGGTCCGTATCGTGATTTGGGACTTAGGTGTATGCCCGGAATCAAATTCCGAGGTCCCTAACCCGAGATATGGAATTTTGATGAAAAATTAAAAGTTTAAGTTCAAATAGTGACCGGATGTCAAATTATGTGCAAACCACCCCGGAATAGAATTTTGATGATTCCAACAGCTCTGTATGATACTTTTGGACTTAGGAGCGTGATCTGAATTTTATTTGGAAGTCCGTAGTGGAATTAGGCTTGAAATGCCAAAAGTTGAATTTTTGGAAAGTTTGACCGGGGGGTTGACTTTTTGATATCGAGGTCGAAATCTGATTCTGGAAATTGGAATAGGTCTGTTAGGTCATTTATGACTTGTGTGCAAAATTTGAAGTAATTCTGAATTGATTTGTTGTGTTTCGGCACAAGATATAGAATTTGAAAGTTCAAAGTTCATAGATTTTGATTTGAGGTGCGATTCGTCGTTTTGATATTTTTTGATATGGTTTGAAGCCTCGACTAAGTTTGTATTATATTTTGGTATATGTTGGAATAATTGGTTAAGGTCCCGAGGGT